GGGACGGGGCTCCCAACTGATCATCCTCGACTCTGATCTTTGACTGGTATCGATTATGCACATCAACCCAGGTTAGCGCTGGATATTCAATCAAATTCTGCTTTAATTGATGTGATGCTACCGAACTTCCCTCGTTCACACCCTGAGTAACGACTTGGACAGCCCAATCATCGATAACCGGGGGTAGGTCCATGCGTTCAATCTGAAATCGAGATACGAATTTCCTTAGCATTTCATTGTCCTTTTGTCTCACTTTGAAGAGATCCGACTTCCTGGTCGCGACCTTTATTGCTCCAGTGTGTGCCTTTACGAACGAATCGGCGAGCATGGCGAAAGAATCGATAGAATTGGGTGGCAAATTGTGGTACCATATCATTGCCCCCATCGATAAAGTTTCTCCAAATTTTTTCAAAAGAACGGATTCAATCTCATCATCTTCTAAGTCATTTCCCTTTATTTCACATGTGTACGAAGTGATGTGTTCATTAGGATCGGTGGTGCTGTTGTACTTGGGGATGTTCGGCATACCGAACTTCTTAGGAATGGGTTTCGGAGCCGCACTTTGAGGAAAAGGCTTCTGCACGAACTTTTTCGAATCCAAACCCTTTAGGATCGGGGGTGCCCCCGATATTTGATCAACTCGTGAGTTGTACGTTTCTACCTTTTTGTCATTAGCCTCGATTTTCTTTTCACCTGATTCTATCCGTTTAGTGAGCGCCTCAGGCATCTTCATGACAGTGGGGTCAGTTCCCGATCCATTATCGTTACATTTCTCCTGTACAGGTTCGACCCTATGAACAACTTCCTGTGATGTATCGAGTTCGATTCTGCTTGGTGCCAGATTCTGATTTGGAGTTGCACTATTGCAGCCTGCTGATTTTGTAACATTTCAAATATCATTCGAAGGCTAATCCCGCCTTCTTAATCGCTCTATGCATTCTGATCGGCCGTCCGAGCATCTCTACTGACGCTATTTTCAGGGTCGACGCCTAAATTTCCATGAATCACAACATGAGAATTGACATCGATTGGATTTACGGCCTGTGGTCCATCGGGATTGATTGGAGGTACTCTGTTTCCCGGGGCGACTATGTGGTCGTTCTCGCCATGAAGACCAAGGCCGGTGTCTGTGTGAGTGGGCACTACTTAAGAGTTTGACATGTTGATTCCTGAAATCAAAGACACTTACGAGAACAAGTGTAAAAGTAGTGTGTGTTATGAGGATTAATACTAGGCAATCACTATTATCCTTAGCCCCACGGTGGGCACAAAATTTTGTATCCTAATAACTAGATAACAATTAAACTTATAATGTGGTTTTAAGGATACGTGATTTTACCTAATACTAATTGATTAACGTAAAGATAAGTGATGGGAATTGACAAGAATGTAAAACAAATCAGTGCTTGGACAATGCCCTCGAGCTTAGTAAAGTAAGGACAATTTAAAGAACAAAAAGTTGACAAACAAGAGAAAGAGAGAAATATTATATTGCCTTGATCTGTATGAATGTAAGTTTACAAATGATAGGGACTCCCCTTTATGTAGTAGAGGAATCCTAATTAAGGTATAACTCTAATTACAAAAGTAAATCACATGATTGGCACAAATAACCGCCCTTGATTTTATCCGTTCCGAGATTCCGCCGTGACCCTCGACCGGTTACGGATATCTCGCTTTTCCGTTACTGTGCTTCGTTCGAAGTCTGTCACATATGGCCTCGGTTGCTGTACCTCTCAATTTCGGCAGGCACTTCGAACTTTATTCTCGATGCCTCGCCTTCGAGTTTGGGTCTGATTCATTACGAGGCCATCCACCGATGCGACTCCCTTGTCTCGATTAAATAGCAAAATCATATACAGTTTTATACATAATCAGGTGCATTACCAAACAATTCCTCATTAGAGTAATAGTTTCTTTTTCTGAAAGTGTGTATAGCCAGGGGTGGATCCAACCCTTTGGTATCGGGTTTAAATGAACCTAGTACTATCGTCGCGGAGTATAAATTTATATTTATAATTCATTATAATTGCAACAAATAATAGATATGAACGCATAACTTTAAAAAAATAATAGATTAAATATTAAAAATCTTAAAGGTTGAACCCATAAAATTTAAATCCTGGATAGCCTCTGTTATTGATGATTGCAGGTACCTATTATCTGAGGGTACGCCAACTTTGAAGCATGCATTCAGAGAAGCTAATGGAGTAGCGGACATCTTAGCCAAGAACGGATGCAGCTCGACTCTTTTGCTAATCTAATGTTGTACTATTATCCGCCTATTTTTGCTATTTCAGCTTTTGATAGAGATGGAATAGGCACTTTCTGACCTAGATAAATCTCATATTGTAATAACTACTAAGTACTATGTTTTTAATAAAATATCTTTATTTACCAAAAAAAAAAAAAAAAAGTCTCAATACAAACGCCCACTCCTATTAAAGTCAATTGGTGAGTATCTGTGAGGAAAAAGAAAAATTGTGAGTATCTGTATCCCTACGGGGACATCCGATAAAATTGGTGATTATCCAATAATCTAAGGATATTTTAAAGCAACACTACACTCACCTTTGAATTGTGAACTTTAGACACATCAAAGTTATTTAGGCAGCGGAAAGGAGAAGGTAGGAATCCCTTATATGGAGTAATAATTTCTTTTTTTTATTTTCACAATAGACTTTTAGCTCGTACGATTCTGAACTAATCATAATGGTACTTTCATATTGATAGTTGTATGAAAACTGATGTTCTAGACTATTTGGTTGTCGTGCTTATTGTGTAAATTTTAGTTGTATGTGCTCCTAATTTTAAAAAAAGGTTTACAGTAATTGTAATTTAATAGTAAGATAAAGTTAGTAGTCTACTTTGTTAATAATCGTATTATTTACTATAAAATTTTATTTATTTCTAGCTATAACCTATAAGTCGACTTAATTTAATGACACTTCACTACTAAATAAGTCAAGTGTTGATAAAATAGGATATTAAAAAGCGTCGTATCACTCGCTGATCCTATATTGATTTGACATTTAACTTAAACTCTCCCTGTGAATGGTGACTTTTGGACTTCACGTTTTAACTTGTTCAGAAATATCATAAATTCATAATCATACCTTGCATACTGACAATTAAATGAAAATTGATGTCCTGGACTTTTTGGCTTTGTCGTGATTTGACGTTATTTACTTTTCCTTCCACAAAATTTATTTTTTGTGTCGATCTCTTTACGGAAATTAAACAAAAGTATGGCAAAGAATACAATATCCAAAAAGAAAAAAATAATATTGTTGTGACGAAAATTAATGATTTGTTTTGGCTTTGTATTGATTGGCTTTGCATACTTTGCCTCCAACTACAACCAATTTTTGTTTCGACCTCTATATAGAAACACAAAGATATTGGAAAAGAATAAATCCAAAAGGAAAAAGATTACCGCGATGGGCAAATAATACCATAGTAGTGTGTACTTCCTCTAATTAAAAGCAAAGGGATATATATATATATCAATAAATGGGTAACCAAGGGAAAGAAGACACTTTTGGCATCCATGAGTTTAGGCATTCTTGCTTTATAGTGAATTATGTGAAGCATTTAGGGCCACGAAGAAGGGTAATAGGAGCTGAAATTGTACCTATTTCCATATATCAACCCTTTTCCATATATCTTGGTAAGTTTATTAGGCAACTAAATTCATTCTTTTGCTTCGACAATAATGGAATTTTTTTCTTTCTATTACCTCTAAACCAATAATTGGAACTTCTCCAATTTCCATAGAGAAGGAATTAAATTACTTATTGTTTGTGCAAGTAATTAAACACCACACATAAGTTTGACAAAACAATTTGCTAGCTAGTTTGATTAAGATTTTGAATTGTATATGTACAAGGGCGTGGTGGAAGATATTACCTAAGTGTGACATATGTGAAGAAGATGGTGGGAGTACAGTTTAAGTTGGCATAGCAGCTTCAAGGATATGAGATAGAAAGCCAAAGGAGATATTTTTCTGCTACCTCTTTATAATAACATCCCTATATAATAGTCATTCATTATAAAAGTCAAGTTCTTTTCGGAACCGATTATTATATTGTGTTACTTAATATAGGTCCTTTATAACAATACTTCACTATAGTAACCAAAAAATATCGAAACAAACGAGGCTGTTATAGAGAAGTTTGACTGTATGTTAAATTGTCAATCAGATACCTTCTTGATGTTTTTTTTTTCCTTTTCATGGGGCGTAACTTGTTAGATCGATAATGCACTTTACATGGTTTTATATCTGAATATTTGACCATGGTACTGAGCTTAGGAAAACTTGAAAGCAGTAAAAGCAGGATTGATGAAAAGGAAGAATGTTAAAGTATGATTCTGGAAACGTACTAAAGACTCGATAAAGTTTTACTAATAACTATGGGGCAAATAAGGCGATATGCAAGGCTGCAGGGTAAATTAGATGAATTCTGCATATGTTTCTTGATTCTTCTGAGTCATTATATATTGACTAGTAGTGTCTGACTTCTAAGGAATTGTGTGTTTTATTTATTTCATTTCATTATCTTGGGAAGAAAACAGAATAATGAGAAGGAAAAAGATCAAGTTTTTCCACTATTGTATAGTTGATAGATGCAATAGAATGATGATTGTTATCCACTTCCTCCCAAATATCGTTAGTATTGACGACTGCAGTGTTTTATATATATAAGAATCTATGATAAAAAGAAGACACAATCACAAGTCATATTTCTTTTAGTAAGTTTTTTGCTTTTCCTATAAGAAATGCACCAACAATGTACAAACCAAAGAGCACGTTTCTAACTTGCTATTGGGAATAATTGAAAAAAATAAACAGAAAATATTATCATCACAAAAGAGAATGATTTCAACATGCATGACTTTCTCTTCAGTTGGAAAAAGAAGGGTTCACTAACAGCAAATGCTAACTTTTTTCATGTCTCCTATCTACTGGAAGTTGCGCCACCAATCATATAGAAGTGATTTCACAGATCATGCAACCAATCATCAGGAACATCAATATTAACACCTTTCAATATTCCATTCATCGCTTCCCAAAATTCGCTATTATTTGTCTGATGATCAGCTCCGTGGCCTTGCTCAATCTCAGCCGTCAAAAGTTGGTCATATGCTTCTTGTTCCGAGGTAGTCAAATTTGTAATTGCATCCTCTGTAAGCATGGCCATCATATTATTTTGGTTCCCCAATATGGTAACTTCATTTCCTTCATCACTATTAATCAACAATTGGCTATTTTGGTAATTCAGTCCACTCAAATAATCATCGGGCGCATATTTTGCATGCAACATTGTATTATCAATGAACTCATTGTGAGTCTCGTTCCCTTGACAAACTGTCGCCGATTGCGTTGGGCTGTTATATTCATCTAGTTCATGGAACATAGCTTCAATTATTTGAGCGAGCTCTTGTTCATCCATAGAAACTGCATCATCCTTCACTTTTTTCTCTCTTATATTCTTCTTGATTCGGCACACAACAATATCCTCCTTAGGAATATTGTTTCCTCTAAAGAAATCATCCCCGACGTAATACTCCTTCATCAGCCAAATTTTGTTATGTTCTCGTTCTTTACTACTACAATGAAACTTGAAATTTCTTCTAAACCCAACCACAGTTCCCTTACCATTCTTGATAGGAACAATACCTGTTTGGGCTTTCCATGTCCCGTTGGCGCAAGTTCGACGAACCCTTGTATGCTCGCTCTTCTGCTTCTTCAACCGAGTAAAAAAATAGCGAACTTTCTCTTCAGAATTAGAATCAGCTCCAAATATCTCCCATGGTGGTCGATCTCCATATATATCTGCATGTTGGAAAGCGTATTCACTCGGCAAAGTCTCGCCCTTTAGGAATCTTTTCAGAAAGTTGATCATCTCTCCGTCAGTTGGGTGAAAACGTTCACCCATAATACGCCGGCGTGCAATTGGTACTGTCGACATGGCTTTTTCTTGTGTATAGAGAATTAACACAAGAGTAATTGCGGCAAAACCCAAAGAGAAGAACTACTGTTTCTCTCAAAGTTGGAAGACAAGAACAATGAAAGTAAACCCTAAACGAATTGCTTGGAAGCTAATGAACGTGAATGCTTTATAGACTATTTATAGATACCCTAATCAGGTTAATTCCAACAAAAAAATCGTGCAACAATTTTACTTGAGAGGGAAAAAAGTGTTGATATCTGGGAGAAAGTTACGCGAGCTTGGGACTCAAGTTACTTTCTTTCCCTGAATTTTATATTTCCTAAATAATTTTTTACTCTTGAACCAACTTTACGGGCAATTCATAAAAAGGAAAACAAGAACTAACTTAATACTCGATGTTCTAAGACAAGAATATGATAAATAGTCTCCTTACCTTTTCTTTTTATCATTTTCGTGTTATTTATTTTAACTAATTTCATTCATTTAATAGAAAATTTAAAATTAACAGTTCTTGGGAAGGTTAACTTGAGTCTCAAGTTGCTTTCTTTCCTTAAAAACATTCCTAACTTTTTCACATTTTAATTGACTTAATAGGTGATTTTAACAGAAGAAACTGAAAATATAGTACTCTCTCCCTTCCAATTTATGTGAACCTGTTTGACTGGGCACATAGTTTAAAAAAAAAATGAAGACTTTTGAAATTTGTGGTCCTAAACAAGTCAAAAAGGGGTCTAGAATATTTTTGTGGTTGTAAAAGCTTCTCATTAAGGATAGAATTGGAAGTTTAAGCTAAATTGTTTCCATTTTTAGAAAGGGATTATTCTTTTTGGAACAGACCAAATAGGAAATAAGTTCACATAAACTGGAACGGAGGGAGTACTAGTTTCCTTTTTCTTTTTTTCTTCATTTATAATTTATTTAATTTTTCTAGCTCCATTTATTCAATAGGAAATTCTAGTTAACAGTTTTTTACCTGAAGAAAAGGCAAAGGTAATTTATACTTCCCTCTTTTCCATTTACAAACTTTTTAGATTAACAAAATTCAATTAATGCGTGGAACAGGAAATTTCTAAATTAATAGCTTTTTCTTGAAAGTAACTTAACTCTAGCCAATAAAAAATCATTGAATTACAGATGATTAAAAAAGTTTACGAAGAGGCTAATAAACCTTCTCCATAATTAAAGAACTCGAACCAATTAAAAATAGATCATTGAATTAGAAATAATTTAAAATATCTTTGAAGAGACTAAACCTTCTCCATAAAGAACTCCATCCAATAAAAGAAATAACTGAATAAAAAAAATTTAATTAAAAAGTGTGTGAAAAGTCTAAATCTTCTTCATAAAGAACTCTAACCTAAAAGAAATATCAAAAATAAACCTAAAAGAAATAGGTGAAATATTTAAAAAAGATTAAAAACGAAATTGTGAAGACTAAATTAAACCTTCTCCATATAAAGCATAAGAATTGTCTTCAGATAAACTCAAAATCACAAATCTGGAATATACACATATTCTTGATTTTAGGAATACTTAGTCTTTACGGTACGTGTGTTGCCCGTGTATTACTGTCTTAATGAGTACATAAATTTGTAAGGAATTATATAAATTTTATGTTTGGCTTAGTACTATAAAAGAAAAAAGTATACTTTTTAAATAATAATTACTGATCCTATTTATCTAATTATTCAATAAAGAAAGAAACTGATCAGCCCTACTGCATTACAGTATTTTCCTGTACATATGCGGTATTTCCCTATTTATAATTTTTAGATGAGTATTTTTATTTTTGGACTCCTATATTACATATATAGCTACAACATTTGTATATGTTTCCTTATTTAATTATACATGTACTAAGTATTATTTAATGATTATTCCTTCATTTCAATGAAATTGGTTGTAGATATGTAAGGTAAAAGTTGAGATATTTTCGTTGTTAGATTTATGTGTTTATTCGACGTTTACATTCAATTTTGGGGTTTTTACCTAGCTATACTATAATAGAAACCTATTTACCACATTTATTTAGGTTCGTTATTAATTACTTTGTATATCTATATTTACTAGTTATATACAAAATCATAAAAAGAAAAAAAAACTCAAGATCCCTTAAATCTAACCTATCAGTTACATGACACCCAACCCCCCATTTCCAATAATTCCCCATACATTTAAGATTATTTTCTTTTCCAAAGAATTACAAAAACATCTTCTCTCTTTCTTAACATTTATCCAAAATTATTCTTACTCACACTAAGAAATTTCGTTTAACCACTTTTATCCAAAATCTTACTTACCCAAAATATTGCTTACCCATTGTTATCCCCCCAAAAATTGCAGATTTTTTTGCTTTTTCAAAACTTTTGAAATCACCCAAAATCTCTATTTTCTTTATTGATGTAATGTAGATGAAATTTAAAATATTGCTCTAGAATCAAGTTGTGGGTAAGTTTGAATCTTGTTTTCTTTCTTTCTAAAATCTTTATTGTATGTGACTTGTATATGATATATCAATACCAAAATAATACTCGATACAATANCAAAATAATACTCGATACAATACTAATACAATTATAATATGATTATATTAAATTTTAGTGTAGAATTGTAATTGAAACTTGAAGAAGATGAAGTTCATAATTGTGTCACAATTATTCAGAAATGTATCGTGATTGTATTATAATTGTATATGTATCATAATTGTTGCACGAATTGTATTACAAATGTATGATAATTGTATATTCATTGTATATTGTTACGAGCAGTTGTGCGTTCGTGACGAATTTCACAGTTTATATCACAAGTATGATAATTGTATATTATTTTATTAGTATTGTATCGGGTATTATTTTGGGTATTAATATACCAGATACAAGTTAGAAATAATTGTGACACAAGTATGATACATTATGTTTTAAGCATTGATGTATCTGATACAATTCAAATACAATTATGATACAGTTATCATACAATTATCATACAATTTCAGAATATTTTTTAATAATATAAAGTTATCTGTAATGGTGGAAAGAGAGATGATGTAGATTTTGGGCGTAGATTAAGGAATTTTGATGTAAAAAAAGGAGAGAGAAGAGGAGAGGGAAAAAAAAGGAAATGATATAATTGAATCTCTTAATTGAAGGCACTAATAATGGAGTGATAGTCTTTTAAGAAGCAATACATACAATTTATAAGAAAACCTAAATACTTATTAAAAACTTCAAATAGAGAACATAGGTAAATAAGTTTCTAATATAGTATAGCTAGATAAAAATCCCTTCAATTTTATGTGTTTATTTTAATTGAAGTGATAAATCTTTTTTGAATATTAGAATTTCGTACATAGTTTAAATAAGGAAGAGTTTAATAAACAAAACTTAATTTATTTCAAAGTCTTAAAAATTTTGGGAATAATTAAATGACTATTTTGTCTAGTGTGAAATCTAATTTTAAAGGGTAATAAAAAAAAGGCGAATGATATTTCGCTAAAGGTATTCGTACTTATAGTATAGACGAATATATAGATAGATATATAGATAGATAGATAAATTGATAAATATATGAAAATAGATATAGATATAAATATAGATGTGGTCTCAACTTTTTTTATTGCAGAAATTAAACATTCTTTCCTTTATCATACGTTGTTGTGAAAATTAAGAAGAGACAAATATGGGTAAGACATTACATTTTCATAGTACTCATAGCAGTTAAAGTCTCGTAAGCATTTTACTAATTAAATATTATAAATACTACGTGGTTCTTTGATGATAGGTTATAATTGCGTATTTTAGTCGCTTATTACACTCAAATTTACTGCACTTTAATTGAGTTTGAGCTTTAATCGCTAGTGTCTTGCACTAATTGTGTGTTTTATGCCTTGTAGGAGTGATTCCGAGCTGATGTCATGGAATGAATTCAAGTGATTTGGAGCTTTGAAGTCTGAGTAAAAGCTCAAGGAATTAAGCCGAGATCGTGTTCGGGGGTCAACGGATGATAGTTAGAACAAACGAAGAATCGAGTAGGCATATCGCGCACTGTCTAGTAAAATGCACATAACTTTTTGCTCAGAACTCCATTTGGGTTTCACAATATATGGTTGGAAACTAACTCAAAGGGTTACAACTTTCATGTTTTACGTTTTTCCAAATTCCAAATGGAACAGGGTGAAAAACGCGATTGAAATCGCGATCGCGGACCTGTTCGCGGACTGAGGCAGTGCACTTGTTAATATGCGCGGCCACTAGCGCGGTCACTAGCGCGCCCGCGCTAGTCCAGGCCTAGAAACTTGTCCTTTTTCACATTGAAGAAGGTATAATTGTTTGGGCCCAACCCTACTTGGTATATATACATGAAAAAACGGTATTTTGAGGATGTTGGACATATTTTTGACACAGATTCGACCTAAGGAGGCAGAGACACAATAGGAGCAAGGCGGGGAATTCTTCTACGAGTTTTTCCTTCCTCTTTCCATTTTTTATTGTTGGTTATGACTTTTACTATTGTATTTTTACATACTATTATGAATAGCCAATTTGTTATCTAGGGTTTTGATAGAACCTTTTGTAGGATAAATTCTTGTTACTATATTTTTATATAATTGAGCCGTAGTATTTTCTCTATTTGTTCAACTATATTATTCTTGTGGTTGATTGAAGGGCCCTCAATTTACTGTGCCTATTTAGTGTGTATTACTTGGGAGAGAGTGCATATTTAGGTAGCTGTTGAACAACATCACTCCCGACGTATGTGAGGAATCAGTAACCAAGGGTTTAAATGTGGAATTAGGGATAACGAAACCTTGGGTGTGATCTAAGTGAGCTGTAATTAAAGCCAGCTAGCGTAACCCGGGAGAGTATGTCTAGTAAATTATCGTAATTACTCGGGAGAGAATTACAACACGCAAAGCCCTCATGATCGGTAGAGAATACTTAGGCGAAATTATAGAAGACATAGCGGGATGGATTCAGACAATTGGGGAAATCATAACTCTAGACCTCCTTAATCTTTTCTCC